CGGCCCCTCGCCCACCTGCCGCCTCCCTGGCCTAACTGCGTGGGGTTGTGACTACGGGGCCTCATTTGTGAGATTAAAGGAAAAAGACTGAAGCCGTGGCCTTTTGACTGTCCGTGCATGTGCTGAACTTCACAGCTGCTGCTGTGAACACGACTACACAAATAATCCCTCTCAGGCTTTCCTGTGTAGCACCTGGAGGAGCTGCAAGTTTCCCACAGCTTAAGACATGTTTCTTTTGTAAAAACAGTGGATTGCATATCTTACAAAAAAAAAAAAAAAAAGACTTTAAAAATGGTAAATTGTTGAGGGAGCAATATAAGTGTGTTTTGTCTGTTGAGCCAGAACTTAAGTCTTGTAATTGTGCATCTGCAGATCTGTTGCTTCTTTCTGAACGCTGCCTGTTTGTCTGACAGTCTGCTTGCTGAGAGGGTTCAGGAGGTCTCTTCAACCTGATTTGCAGTGCTTGGGCTAAACTAACGCTTTGATGATCTTGGATCTAAAGCAAGCTAAATCTGTCAGAAAAACATCTGGGTTTTTCTAGCTCTGTAAGTAACTAGATTATATTAATACTTAAGTAGTATTTTTTTGTGGTGCTAGCAAAGTATAAAGGACATGCCTAGAACTGTCAAAACCACCCAACTTTAATTGTTATCTCTCCTTAGAGATGCATCAGGTGTCTTTTGAGCTTTCTGATCTTATGATTCCTCACTTTCCTTAGTGATGAGTGCTTCTGAGGTTTTCATCAAGATAACACATATGCATGTTTAGAGTTAGGGTTCTGCTAGGTGTTATTGGCAAGGTGATGTTTCTCTATACTTACAGTTTTTATTGAAACTCTACAAAATGTTTATGGATTTCCACACACAAAATGCATTAGTGGCACTAATCAGTTTCTAAAATCTATTCTGTCTGCCTTTTCTTGGAAATTTATTCTTACACAGACTTGTCTTCTCAGCCCTTGTTCTTTTCATAGACTTACACTACTTTTGTGGCTGTTCCAAGTATTTTCCAGCCAGGGAAAAGCATATAATACAATATGCATTTCAAATGTTGATACATAATTGTAGGAATAGTATTTGTGATGCTAAATGGATGTCTCAAAAGCATGGTTAGAAAGATGGAAAAAAGAACAGCATGTTCCTGTGTTTCTAGTTCAGGGTTCTAATTTTATGTCTACTTAATGTCTTGCACAAAGGAGTTCTGGGTGGGGGGAATGTGCTACGACTTACACAGTTTTATTTTTACAGTTAATACAATTTCTCATCTGCAACCAGATATCTAAAACCAGACTGTAAGTTTGTTTTCGTCACTATCGTTAAACTGGGAACACATTATTTTATCACTTGACTACACATTTCCTTTTCTTTCAAAGAGAAGATTGGTGAGATAAAAGAATCTTTAAGTAGCTTTTGGCATTTACAGAAGCAAGTATTATGAGCAGTAGTGTGTCTTCTTTGGATTCTTGACTGTTCTGTTACTGCTAGGTATCTGCTGTGCTGGCATAATGACAATTGATTAGCCTGTCAATTTGCAGTAAAACCCTGGACTTGCCCATCAAGGCCATTACTAAGAGCAGTCTGTCATAGTCCACAGTGGTCTAGTAAAAATTTAATTTAGAAACGGGCAAAACTGGCACTAGAGATGGAATATAAGGAAGGACAACTGTTTTTCCCCTGTTAATGTCTCAGCAAATAATTATAACAAGGTGCATTTAAAATGTTTTAAACTTATTATTTAAATAGTTAATCATCAAATACTCTCTTCTGTATTAAAGCTGCATTGTTGTACTCCACATGTGATCTGATCCTGCAGATAGTTAAGTTTGTTCTTCAGTAATTTCAAAGGGTTACTTACATATTTATAGCTAAGCATTTGCTGGGCTGGGCACGTCAAGTGCTCAAGGACTTGCTTTCGCTCCTCTTGTCTTGCAGATACCACTCATGCTGGAGATACAATCATGTTTACAGGACTGAGCTGAAACTTGGCTGAAAAGTTGTTTAAGTACAGCATGGTTTAAGAAATACTTACCTAAAAGGCAGCTTTCAATAGCAGAAACATGGGGGATTTTTCTGTTTATACAAGTAAATTTTCAACAAGTCTTCCTCTGAGAATAGCATCTGGTTATGAGATTTTTCCTCATTTCTTTTTTTGATTGTCTTAATCTGAAAACTGCATCTCTGTCAGGAGGCAGGACTGTCTTGAACTACATAAAATCAGCTGACATCATACCCTTTTATCTCCAGTGAAGGTAAAACCATGGTGAATGAGAAGTCCTAGCCCCTAATTTCTTTCCTGGAACATCCTTATAATCCAACATCCGATCTAATAAGCTTTGAAGATAAAGTTATGGCATATAGATTAAAATATGGCCTATAACCAGAATAATTTTTTCCTGTGATGTTGCTGTGGCTTCAAGGGGTTGAACATACTCTGGTATAACAGTTTTGCATAGTGCTGGGTGTTGGAATCCTTTTCACGTACTGGCCAGCACTTTGGAGCTGACCTGACAAGTTCGTTAGTATTTTAAACTACTGTAGGGGGAAAAAAAAGCAAATGTCCTTGCTTTTACGGCTCTGAAGATAATATCAGAGGTAAACCAATGCAGTGCTATTTTTCTGTGTTTGCAAACCCATTTCCCATAGCTGTTCCCTTTCTATATGTCTGATACTTTTACTGATGAGAAATGGGTAAGACTAAGCCATATTAGATAAAGGCACTTCTGGAAGAGACTGTGAAGTAGTGTAAGGTAGGAGAGGGGCAAGAAGCAGCAATAAAGGTATAAGCTGAGTAGGAAGAGTACAGCTTTTCTAGAAATGTGTGGTTTGCAGTGGGGAAAAAAGGAGTTGGTAGATATGTAAGTGGTGTTCATAAATTAAATTTATGGTTGTTTGCAAATAGTATTTTGAAAATCACTCTACATTTCTGCAGTGATTCTTTGTGTAAGAGAGTTATGTGAATAAAAGAACTGTAAGGAGTATACCTAGCTGAAATATGTTCTATGCAAATAAAACATTGGATGGGTGTAAGGACAACTGCTGCACAAATCAAGTAGCTGATTCCAGATTAACTTCGGAGTTTGTGATTGTAGTTTTGCAGCTGGCCATCTTACTCCTTGTGTGTACAGCTACCAACTGAAAAGGTGATAAAGGGATAAATAGCAAAATAGCTAAGTATTACTGAAGATTCAGGTTTTTTCCTTTCAGGTAAGGCGAGCTCCATGGGTAAAAGTAATGCTTTTTATTAGACCAACTTACTTTGTTGGAAAGGGTAGGTGAGCTTTCAGGTATGTAAGCCCCTTTCAGGTTTGAATTAGAAACAGCAGAATATAAAACAAAATTGAAAACAATTGATACATGATTTTTATAGTACTTCTGTTAAGCATATTAACCCACGGGGCAGCATACATCATTAGAAGGTGATGAACGTTGTCTTGCAGAAGTACTACTGTTCTAAAGGCATCCTCTCATTTCTAATGAAACACTTCAAAATGGCAGTGCTGTGACAGTAGCTGCTGTACAACTGTGAAAGTGAACAGCATGTGCTCTCCAAAGTGAACCAAGTTTTGCTCTGAGGGCCTGTCTCATTATTTTCATAACTGTTGGATATTTCATTTGGTTCTCTTAGCTGCTCAGTCAGAGCTATAAGGAAAAAGCTTGCTCTATGAACTGAAAAGGAAGAAAACAATTCTTTCTGATAACATCCCTGGGGAACAGGAATATTTGGACTAGACTGAAGGCTGCTATCAGTGATATGGACTAATAAAGTATGTATGTTAGGTAGGAGGAAAAGAAAAGTTGATTCATTTTTATGATAAAAAATGCAAGTTCTCTGGTTTTCTTGTGTGTGTCTGCCAGTCTTGCCTTGTTAAGGTATAATGATTCATATTGGTAGTTGCTGAGGGAAATTATATTCCACCTGAAATCCCTGTTGATAATTGCATGACTAACATGGGGTGTGATGCATTTTGAAAACTTCAGAATATCACTCAAAGCTAGCAGCTGTGGGAGTTGCTTGTGCTGTGAAACTGTTTCATGCGAGGTTTGCACGAGAAATGAATTGCTGTTACGGTTATTGCCAATGGGTGGTGCTTTCCAAGTCTACTTTGAAGCCTTGCTAACATTCAGAATGTGGATTATAGCAAAAAGTAGGATAGATGTGATTTGGGTTGGGGTTTTTTTTTTTATACTTCCCCTCCCCACACTTGTTTGGTTCCAAACCAAACTTTATGCATGACTGAATGTGACCCAAAGTACAGGTATCAGGTTAGGTTCTAGCCCTGCTGGTAGCATCCATTTGCAACAGAGAGAGGGTTTCTCATCCAGCACTTTAAGATCTTGTGCACGTAACAGCACATGCTCTGCTGACTTTCTCCTCTAACAATGATTCAACTTGACAGGTCTTTTCTTCTGGGGCATGAACTGTCTGGCTGTACTTATTTTTTCCTTGCATCAGAATAGTGTCAGTATAGACATCTCTGTATGGAGATGGTGTCATCCAAGTTTGAAGAGAGTACTGCCAGAATTTGATTGTATTTCTTCTGAATTTTATAGCAAAACTCTCATAATTTTAGTTTGGATGAAGGCAGCCCTAAGTTGGAGTTGTTAAAATAGATTTTCTTTTTAATGTTCTTTAGCTATGAAGTAGAAGAGCTAACTATAAATCTTTATTTGATGGTTTTCTAGGATCATCAGTTTGGATATAGCTTCCAACACACAGGACGGGGCCTGAGGTCTTGCTGTGTGTCAGTAGAAGCAGGCTTTGGAAGACCTATGAAAAGAGCGTGCTGCAGAAGTAGAATCATGCTTTCTAGTAGGTTCAAAACCAAAACAAAACATAAAACCCCCCAAAATTTGAACTGCTAATACAGTGAAACTCAACTAGTTTTTATTCTATTAACTTTTTATTTTTAATATTAGATGTGCTTAAATTTAATTTGCTTTTAAATAGAAAATGCCTTTAAATCCAAATTGAAAGTAAATGTAAAATTGAATGATTGTGGGGGTATGTGCTGTGGCTAGCCTGGAGCAATGCGTGTACAACTCGGCCAGCTAGTGGGTGCCCCTTTTAGAAGTGAGAAATGGTAGCTGCCAGCTTTCAGCAGAGGCGTGCATCTGACTCCTTATCCAGCTGCCAATTTTTCACAAAGTCTATAGGAACTTTGTATCTTTGTGGCTTCTCCCTCTCTGTGAAAGGAGTGTTAAAACTGATCAACAGGTTCAACTGTTGGGGGAGGTGGCAGACATGAGAGAAATTCAGTCTCTCTGCCCTTCTCTCTAATAAGCTTTGTTTCCTTAGGAAACCAGGCTGAGAGGCATGTCCTCATTTCAGCTTTGTTTTTTGCATTGCAGAAATGAGCTTTGCTTCAAGAAGTCCTTATTGCATTTGCAATCTCCACTGTGGTGTCTTGAGCCTTAGGGAATTTTTCTTCAGCCTGAGAGATTATGGGAAATGGGAGCAGTAACATTTTTCTTAATTGGGGGTTGCACAGGGAGTGGAATAGGGCCAATGGACCTACTTTGCTAATGTACTCCAGAACCACCACCTTTACAAGCCCACCCATTCCTCTTGCACACTCTGAAGGGAAATAAGATCAACTGGTCAGGTTAGTCATGCCTAACTTAGGGAGTCACTGAATAAATGTGGAAATGAAGGAGCTCTAATGTTAATGATGTTCATGGTTTAAGAAATGGTAAAGGAGAAAAATAGGCATCATAGGCGTTTAGTTAGGTTTCATATGCTTCATTGCATGGAAGATCAGACAATAATATAGGGCAAAAGGAATACTTTTATGTAGCTCAGAAGAGGCATGCTTCTGTATCTGTCAAACAGTGCAAATAACTACCCTTTCAATTTTTCATCCTGCGAGGAAAAAGTGGAAAAGACACTGTTGTCAGCTTATGGGGAGAATGAAGGACCACTCATCCTATTAAGCAGATTTACAAAAGATGTGAACAGGGTCATCTTGTGCTGGAAAGAAAACATCACTGCGTCCAAATTGGAACTCTGCTGAGATCAGCTTTAAAAAGCAGTGTCTTTTACTTGGCAGTGACATACTGGATCAGATAATGCAAAAAACAAATGCGTATTGATTAATCTTAAGCATGAACAAAAATTTCGAAGCAAGTTTCAAAACTGTATTAATATTATAGGATTGTAAAATACTGAAAATCCTTTCTAAGGAAGCTGTAGTGCACATGTTCCTTTGTATTGGGACAACAGCTTCCTGTAAAGCTACTACATTTTTTAATTAAAAAAAAATTACACTTAGTCATCAACCCTTTTCATATGTAGATAAAGATCATTGATCTAAAATGAGATTTGTAACTCTTCAGACACAAGATAGAGACATCAGATTAGCGTGCTTTTACAGCTTCTTACCAAAATGCAGGGACACTTCTGTCTGCATGCATTACTGTTCTAGGTGCTCTCTTCATGCAATCAGGCACCACTTCATAAGTTTTACAAAACGTGGAACCAGCGTAAGTCTCACAGAAGAGCTGTAGCATGTTGAGTAATTTATCCATCTTTAGGTTAAATATTTCTCTTTTGAGTACAGATGATGTAATGTGGAGAGTGTGAATGTTGCCAAAATGTTGTTTCCTACATGCAAAAGGATCAAATTTGTTCATTTCAGTCAAAATGAATAATCATGTTTATTCTTATACATTATATTGCTGTTTTAAATACAGAACTTTTTATTCAACATTTTTTTGTGTCTTAACATCTTGTACATGGACACTGTATTTTTTTTTTCTATTATTTTCTTTCTAATATTTCAGAACCTGATTCAGGAATTAAATTTTTTTTTCTTTCCCTTTTTGTTCAGGTCTGGAGCAAGCACCTACACTCTTGGCTTTGCCTCAGGATTAACTGCCTACACTGACATTGATAGAAAGAGATGTGGAAGCAGAAAACTTGTAGTTCAACAGAATTGATAATCAATTAGATCCATTTTTTTGGGATAATTTTACTAGTCTTTTCTGAGATACTAACAGGATCTTCAAATATAAGCACGTTTTATTTCGGGAAGTGATCTTTTGATGTTTTTCCTGTGAAAAAATTGACAGAGTTTGGTCTAAAGTTTTCCAAAGTGCTGATGTTGAGTGCCCAGTTGCTGGAAAGGATTCCTATCTTTAGGCAGTATGATGTTCCATGAAAACAAAATTGATGCTTTTAATTTGTCAGTTATTTTAGTGTTAACTTCTTTATTCTTGAAGAGGCCCTGGAGCTCTTGGAAGTTAGTCATCTAGAGCCTCTCTCGGAGGGGACTATTTTTAAAAAGCTTTTTTTCTGTAGAACACTACTGACCTTCAACATACCAATACTTTGTATGTTGCAATTCTAAAAGAAAGCTCTCTCACCATTACTAGAAACTGCCAAGATTGGCTTACAGTTGAAAGCATAAAACATGAAAGTTTTACTTTAATCTATAGGATTACTAAATATTTAGCAGATGTGGCTTTTGGGTAGCAGGAAGGCCTGCCTGACCTACTTTCATTTTAATCACTGAAGGGGTATTTCATGATTTGATGCTGCCAAGTTCAGCTATTATGTTTCTGGTGTGAAAGCTGATCTTCTGAGTGTGGGTTGTTTTTTCTTTCTTTTTTTTCTCAGAGGGATATTGGTGAAAGGAAAGCAGAAAAAATTCAATATAAGGGATTTTGCCTCCTCCTTTCAGGTCTTTTTAGTTCTGTCTTGAGGTGCGGGTGTGTTACTGCATTTATGGACTGTTGTGGCAGTAAGTAGCACACTGATTCACATGACAGCTGCTCAGTTTTCCTTTGCGGCACATCCCATCAGCCCCTCTTATTTTTTCCACAGTGCCTTTTCCTGAGAAGCTGACTCTCTTCCAAGGAAACAACTAAAATTCTGTTTTACAGTTGTAGGAATCTGCTTGTACCAATATGTATGTTCATATTTTGACTATTTTTTTTCTCACCTCTTCTTTTTGTATTTTATATGGTATTTCTCTCACTGTGAAATAATTGCTATATAGCACATGCTCTGGCTCTTGAAGTGTGCCAGCATATAAACGAATCAGTTTGTAGGTGGTGTGTCCCAGTGGCTGCTTTTCCCCCTTTTGCATTTTTTATGTTTCCTCTTTGATTGCCAGCAGAGGTTTTGTGGCACAGATAAGATTTGTGGACGCTAGCAAGTAACATTACCCTTGGCTGCCTGCTGGTTGGTTTTCATTCCATAGTCTTGCAGGTCATCTGTTGAATGCATGCATGAAAACTGTGGCTGTTGGTAAGGCCATGGTGAGTTTTTGGTGTGTGTTGGAAGAAGCCATTAACTGGTCAGAGTGCTGAAGAGGAGACCTCCTCCAGGATTGGTTAATTGGGGTTGAAGAGAGTAGAGGTGGTTGACACTGATGTTAGGCAAGTTCACAGCTTTTGGCTTTGGAAACAGAGATGAGTTACTGTGGAGTATTATCTGAAATGGACTGTTGCTAGATCCTCTTCCTCCCCTATTTCTGCCTCCAGTGGCAGATGTCTTAATTCCTGCATAAACCATGGTCAGACAAGTAACAATCCAGCATTTTCTTCTAGAGGAAACACCTGCTACAGGACAGTTCGGATGCTTGCAGCTTGTCTCAGGAGCATGGACTGTATGAGGGCATGCTTGTGATGAAGAATCCACACTATCCACTGTGTTCGACTCTCCTCAAATTTCCTCCTAAATTCCTAGGTCTGTATAGCATAAATTGTTTTTACAAGAAGGCCATAGATTCCATGCATTCAGGTCATCTTTTTCATACAACCTGTTCATAAAACTTGTTCATAAAAAACGGTGGGACGATCTAATAGCTAAGCAGATGGCCATTCCTTTGTAGAGCTGAGGCTTCAAACTGCACTTCACAGTTTCAGGTCTTTACTGGTATAATTTTGATCCCCTACATAAACTCAGAAAATGTCTGAGCTCCTATAACCCCTAAGATTCGGGTAGCAGGGCAAGGAAGGCTTCCCTTGGGCTGGCTGCAGTGGTTCCTGTTCCAGCTGCTGCCGTACCGTTTGCGTGCGCTTCCTGCCACCACAGTGGGGTTGGCTCAGCTGTCTGTGCAGCATTTGCTGAGATGCTGCAAATGTGTTCATTTAAAAAATGATACATTAACCATATTTTGATGTCCTCCCAGTTTGTAAACTGAGGGCCTCTGTTTTGGTACTAACTCTGCAGTTCGAAATCAATGTAACCTCACCCTCAGAAAATAAGCTTTATTTCAGATGTACCTTCCTAGCAAAGTCTTACTGTTTCAGATAAAACCCTTTCCTGGGAGGGGGAAGTAGAAATTGGTTGATATTCCTCACACCAGGTTGGTAAGAGGAAAGTTAAGAAGCCTCATTTGTCCTGAAGTCAAAAGCTGAAGTCTGGAAATTATTTATGAATTTCTTTTCCCTCAAAGATGGCAAGAATCTTACTGCGTGGAAGAGCTTGAACTCTGTTTGTTTACGTTGCTGGTTGAGATTTCCAGACAGGCAGTTTGTGTTCAACCCGTGTAGCCACCCCCCAGGGCTGTTTGCAACATGGCAAAAGAGTTGTTGCTTCGTCTGTCAACACTTCCTATCCTGTTCCTCCTTCTGTGCTCTGGAGCAGTTACCAGAAATTCTCGGGTGCTTGTGGTCTGAATATTTCTTCACAGTAAGCAAATGTGCCGGTATTGATCAGGGAAGCAGTTAAAGATTAAAAATGTTCACGTTGTTGAAAATTGAACACAAACTTTTTTATTGCACATGGGAGCAAAAAAGGGACTTCTGTATTCTTCTGAAACTGTGGTGAAATTTATAGAAGATTGGAATGAGCCAAGAATGGGTAGAGTTTTAAAAATTATAACCTGTAACAAAATGTCAAATAAATGGATTTTAGTTAAATCTGGAAAAATGCTAAGGCAGGGAGGGTATGAAAAAGTGTTCCACCACAGATAGTTGGATGCCAGCTCTGTATAATGGAACTGAGATGTTCACTGGGGAAAGGGCAATAAAAATTGCCTTGATTTAGAATCACAGAATCATGGAATCATTTAGGTTGGAAAAGACCTTTAAGATCATCAAGTCCAACCGTTAACCTAGCACTGCCAAGTCTACCACTAAAGCACGATAGAATGCTTTGCTGGAGAGGAGGCAAGATAGTTGAGACAAGTGAATTAAGGAACTTGTGGAGTTGTTTTCATTACTGGCAGACGAATGCATTAAGGATACATTAAATGTTGTAGCTGCCAGCCTGCAGCAGTTCCTAATTTAAGACTGGAGAGTAGTCTTAGCAATCTTCTTAATTTGCTTTCTTAATTCTCTGCTCTTGAAACACTGTGAGGAAAGAAACTGAGATGAGAAAGCATTGTGCAAGGCCACCCGTCTTCTGTAAAAGCTTGCATCTGCTAAATCTTAGACAGTGAGTGCAAAACTTGGTTTGTTCACACGTTTCAGTCCTCTGCTGTTAGCATCTGTAACGTCAAGACCATTTGTGAGAGGTGACTGCAGGCGGCTGTGTAGTTCCTCTCTTATCCCTTGGACCCAGCGCAGGGGCCTCTGTCCAGCAAGTGCCTTGGCGCAGACACCAATGCCATAACGTGGCCAGACACGTGAATCTTGCTTGTTGGATGGCTGTGTTAACAGGCCCTGATGAATGGACTCATTGTTGAGGAAGAGTTGGTTTGCATGTTAAATCACTAACTTTATTTCCTAAAACTGTTTAGATGTGTAAAATGTCTGCAATGTGTCTCTCAGGATTGAGCAAAGGGCTTGCGGATTTATCTGCAGTGGTTCAGAAAGTTCCTGGCAACATCTTAACTCTGGTCTTTTGTTGGAGCTTGTTGCTATCAGACGTGGTT